AAGGCAAGTAAAGCAAAATAATGTAGAATGACTGAAAATACACATGTGGGCAATAAAGATCTATCAGGTTAACACAAAACTGACAGAAGGCAAGAATAATATCAGACAATGTAAACTCCAGAGCAAAAAAATCATTAAACAGGGCAAAAAAAGGTATTTTATATTTTTAAAGATAAAAGCTACTAAGAAAAATTACACATAATAGTGTTTAAGGATGAATTTTATCAAAATCATAGTCTCAGTCAGGAACTAACATACTTTAGTTACTAATTTGTCAGTTTTTAGAAAATAACAAATAAGGATATTATATGTTATAATAAATGTGTCAAATCAAAACAACAGAGAAAGGAGAGCTCATCAACATAAATGTTTTGGGAAAATGTCCAGCAATTTAGAAAAATAAATTTGAAAATCTAAATATATTACAAAAAATATACAATAAAAGATGTATACAGAGTATTTTAATAATCTTGGGGTGGAAACCCGGAAGCCATAAAGAAAAAGAACAAAACTAGCAACATAAATATTAAAGATTTCTATAGCAAAAGCTCCCAGAAATCACCTTACAAGAAAGAAGAGGCTATAAGAAAATAACAAATGATGTACCAAGCTGTTAATAGCCACAATATGTAAACAGCTATTACAAATCAATAAGACGAATACTTCAACATGAAACTAAGCAAAGAATATGATCATGTAAAAGTACAAATGACCAACTAACATACAGTCAATCCCATCAATAAGCAAGGAAATGCGGTATTAAAACAGTAATAAAGTAGCATTTTTCAGCCATAAAATCACTAAATATAAAAAAATGATATCATCTTAGCAGTTATTATTATAATACTTCACAGGTCTCTCAAATTTCTAGAAGTCGTATAAGCAGAGGAACTCATGGCCTTTGTTTACATGCCAAACAGCCCTGACATACAAACAGAGGTCTCCCTCTGGAGCAGAGGGCAGGTTTGTATACTATCCAAGAAAATATAGACAATGTCTCCTTCAAAATCAGATAAGCAAAAATCAGGTAAGTTCACTCAAAGTACACCATGAAAGATTCAGGTTCCCTAAATTCAAGATTCCTCTCCTGTAACAAAACTTACTCTGTGTGCTAGTGTCACCTAGCCCTGGTCCCATCACCTGTGGAAATTGGAGCTCCAGGAATCAGCATAAGAAGATGATACTATGGCTACTGGTACTGTTGTGCTTTGTCTCTGACCCAGGCAGCTTGATTCCCGACAGCACCCGTTAAAACCGTTAGCTTGCAAGTAGGGTATAATCTCAGACCTTTGATGATTCTTGGCAATGATATGGCAAAAGCAGTATTCTCATAAATTGTATAAATGTCCTCTTACCAACAACCTTTGTGAAGTGTACTATATATAGCAGAATCTCTATAATATCTCTAAAATATATATGTAGCATTTGACCCAGCAATTCCACATCTACGTATTTACACTAAGGAAATAAACAAACATGCAAATATATATATATATATATATACAAAAATGATCACTGCAGTTATGTTTATAATAAATTTGGAATAGCCTAAACATCAATAGGAAATTGGTTAAATAAATTTGGGGTTATTTCTACAATAAAATACTACAAAGACTTTTCAAAAAGATGTTATATGCACTGACATAGAAAAGTGTTCATTATTACTAACGGAAGCTATAGAAAATTACATTTGGTACATTGCCATTTATGAAACAAACAGACTTATACACATATATTTTTAAAATCTAGAAGGAGCGAGAACAAATTATTAAAGGGTGATGATCTTTGTGGAACAGAGTTACTGGGTACGTGGGCACACAACACTTTCACTTCCTCCTTTGGCTATTTCTGTATTGCTTAATTTTTTTAAAGAATGTTTTTGTTAGTTTGTTTGTTTGTTTCTTTGTTTGAGATAAGGTCTTACTCTGTTGCCCAGGCTAGAGTGCAGTGGCCTCATCATAGCTCAGAGCAGCCTTAAACTCCTAGGCTTACTCCATCATCCTGCCTCAGTCCCTTGCACAGCTGGGACTATAAGTGCCTTCCACCACACTTGGCTCCTTTTTTTTTTTTTTTTTTTTGTAGAGACGGGGTGGAACTCCTGGTATCAAGTGATCCTCCCACCTTGGCCTCCTAAAGTGCTAGGATCATAGGTGTGAGCCACAGCACCTGGCAGAGAACATATATATTTTTTTTATGATCGAGTTTTATGATAAAGTTTTTAAGTGTCTATTATAGCAACAAGTTTTTAAGTGTCTATTATGGCAACATCTGGAAATTGATTATATTTGACATCCAGCTGGAAAGGTAAAATACAAATGGACATGAGGATGTCCCAGGGAAGACATCTACAGCCATTTACCTCTTAGAGCTGCAGAAATCAGCTACAAAACGTCCTAAATCATAGCCACACTGTTAGGTAAACAGCAAGGGTTTCCGGGTCATATAGGGACAAAAGTAGATGCCTTGCTTTGGTGCAACTGCCCCACCTGGGAAAAGGACAAGGATGGGTCGCAGGCCCCACTCCTTGGTCCCAACCAACTGCCATGCCTGGGGTAGGAAGGAACACCCTACAAATTTGCCAATCAGAACTTAGCATGCCAACTGCAAAACAATGCAGAGGGCTCCTTCGCCCACAGACCAAGCACCATAGGTACAATAGAGCCCAGATAGAACAACCCGCATGCATAGTAAGACTCAGGTCATGCAACTCCCAGCTGTCCAAAGTGGCTTCATGGTGACGTCTGAATCACGGGGAGGTCCCTATCTGGACACTATAAAACAAGACCCAGCCCATAACCAAACTCTTTTTCTGCTATGACAAGGGGTCTGGTTGTCATCTGTGGTGTATGTATCTTGCTCTGTATACCTCTATTTTGCTCTAAAATCCTATCTTTCTCTCCCTCACTAAATCTCACCTCATGCTTGCCTTATTTTGGTGTGTCTGGTCATTTTTCTGCCAAAAGCACACCAAGAACTGAGAACACAGAACAAGACTAACCCTGACAACACTACACTTATTAAGACACAATGCAAAGTCAAAAGACATGCAGACTTTGAATCAGACTGCTGCTTCTCTATGTAGAACTCTGAAGATCAACTTGAGTGGTGAATTCTGAGTGAACAAAAGAAGGGGTTTATTTAGCAACAGTTAATGACTCAATTGACCATGGAAAAAGCAAGCTTAAAAAAATTAATTTCAAGAACAGACAAGAAACTTTAAAAGCAGGGAGGGGAGCAAGAGGTAAAGAAAGGAAACTGACTTGTACCCATTAAATGTGTTAACTCTAAAAATATTTAGTGAAGTCTACAATATGCCAGGCATTGTTCAAATCACTAGACATTAAAACACACTATAAAGCTAGAATAATAGGAGCAGCAAGGAAGCCAGAGATCACTGCACAATAGTTTACAGGGTCCCAAGAATATACAGAAATTGGGGCTTATGATACTTACAGTACTTATCAGCAGAGAAAAATAGAATTCAACAAACGATGATGGGGTCACTGCTTAACAAAAAAGTTAAAGCCTTACTTCCTATCTCACACTAAAATATGAATAAGACCATTAATAGTACTAGAAGAAAACATAGGTGGATATTTATATACCACTCATGGGGCAAAACGCCTTTCTGAAAGGACACCGAAGTTAGATCCATGATGTTAAGATGGAGAATGTTGAATACACCAAAATTAAGATGAGGCAATAAGACTAACACTGTAAAGAAAGAAGGGGCAGTTTTTATTAACTGACCATATGTGGAAGTAAAAGACAAGCAGTTACCAACATTTTAAGATACCACTGTACAGAGGACTATAACTGCATTATTGCATCAAGGTGTGAGTAAGAGAAGTTAACCACTTACATTGACCTAACCTCTCTGATTTTCAGGTAACAGAAGGGAAGAATATGAAAAACGAGGGTTCAGAAAAGCCAAAATTTGGGTCAGCAGTTTTAAAAAAAAAAGAAGTTAGTATTCAGGAAGTGTGGAAAAAAGAATCCAATTCAACGAATACTACAGAGTGATGCACACTGCTACTAGAAAGACAAGTACGCTGATCCTTTCACCCAAGAACTTAGTATCTGATAAAGGATGATAGAAGCGTTGATCTGTCTGTATAGTCTCCCTCTACTCAACCAACAGGTACGAAATATGTAATACAGAAGCATGAAGTGAGCTTGAAGGAAAAAGTGTACCTATATTCCAAACTTAATAAATCCAGGAGGGCACTTAAGCAGAAAAGACAGCTTGTCTTTAAACAGACCAGAACAAACAGCATCTGGTAGTAGTGAGCCCTCCAGGGTATAAAGCCAGACTCAGTATCCTGCAAACGCAACTACTTGACCACAGGTTTAGACCATCTTAACTTTCTGGTTATTTGTATGCTGCATTTCAATTTGTTTATGTTTCTCAAGGCTTTGTGGCAATCATCATTTGTGAAACCAAGAAATCCAAAACCACCCCTGTTGCAAACATACTGACAAGGAGGCCAAGGGGATGGTCACCCTAGCAGCACCCCTAAACATTGAAATTAGGTTGCAGCCGGGCATCTTGTGGCAGTCCTGAGGAAAGAAAACATGGGCCCGGATAGGCAAAAATCATCGCATGTCAGGGAAATCGGGGCAGCAGGCACAGAAGCAACAAGTACACAGACGGGCAAAGGCCAACCCGTGGCGTCCAGATTAGCGCAGCGCGCGGATCTGGGCAGATCCCAGGGTGTAAACAACCCTGCGCCGCGCACGTCTGGGCGGCGCCTCCCGCCCTGCAGACAGACCGGGGCAGGGAAATAGCGCCCGAAGCGCGTAAGCGGTTTCCGGGGTCCCCAGCAAGCCCCGCAAGCGCAGCGCAGCGCGGGCGGGGCAGGGGCGGAGGAGGGGCGGGCGGCGGAAGCCTGTGCCCTGCGCCCAGGCTCTCCAGGCGGGGCCCGCCGCACAGCCCGGCCCCAGCGCCGCAGGAAGAAGACGGAGACGCTCAGGAGGGAGAATTAAAGGAAAGGCCGTACCCTGCAGGGTCCGGGAGAGGCGCGCGCCGCGGGCTTCACCAGAGACCAGGCGGCGCGGGGGCGGTTCCCGCACTCTCGCGCTGCGGCACCGCGGCGGCGAGCCCGGCCCAGCACGACCCGGAAGGAAGACGCAGCGGCTGCGAGGAGGGGCGGGGCCTGGGGCGCGGGGGCGGGGCGTGGGGCGGGGCGGGGCGGGGCCAGGAAGCAGGCAGGGCGCTGTTCCCGCCGGAGGTGCTTGAGGGCTTCTGGACAGCCCTGTCGTAGGCCGGGGGGAGGAGCTTCCTGCTGGCTTCTCCGCTCCCGAGGTGAACTTGTAAATGGCCCAGTTACTCCCTGGCAGGCATGGGTTGCAAACGCTCTGCAATATAATCCCTTCAAGCGCCGGCTTGACATCTGTAGTGTAGTCTTGCTGAGAGCTTAATCCAGATTTGGCGGGTCAGGTGATGCATAGGTATTCCGGGCGGCAGGATCCGCAGAGGAAAAGAGGAAGATACATTATGGAGCTCTTGGTGAAGGCATAATTCACCAAGTTTGCAAACATCTTCTGCCCCGATACAAATCCTAACGCCTCTGACCATGACCACCGATGAAGAAGATACTCTTGCGGCCTCCCTTCCTCAGCCATGTTGATTTATTTTCGGTAGATACAGTATCGCCCATTTTAGTTTGCATCCTATTTGACTTGTTAAAAAATTTCCATTAAGATGGAAAAACATTTAATAATAAAATGTTAATCCACGCATTGTTTGTCTCATTGCTCCTATAAAGAGGCAGAATAATAGGGATAGGGATATTTATATGACTGAGCCAATATATAATGTGCAATATAAATTGTATACAAAAATGGGAATTTTATTTTTTACTTTCTTCAATTTCTTTTACAATTTAATTTTTTAACTGATACATAATAGCTGTACACATTTTCCCAATACATGTGATAATTTGATTCATTCATATAATCAAATCAGGGTAATTGGGATATCCATCACCTTAAATATTTATCTTTTTTTTTAAGCTAGGAACATTTGAATTTTTCCTTTCGAGCTATTTTTAAATGTGCAATAGATTAATGTTAACTATAGTCACTTTACTCACCTATTAAACACCAGGTCTTGGCCGGGCGCGGTGGCTCACGCCTGTAATCCTAGCTCTTGGGAGGCCGAGGCGGGCGGATTGCTCAAGGTCAGGAGTTCAAAACCAGCCTGAGCAAGAGCGAGACCCCGTCTCTACTATAAATAGAAAGAAATTAATTGGCCAACTGATATATATATATATATATACATATATATATATATATAAATATTAGCCGGGCATGGTGGCACATGCCTGTAGTCCCAGCTACTCGGGAGGCTGAGGCAGAAGGATTGCTCGAGCCCAGGAGATTGAGGTTGCTGTGAGCTAGGCTGACGCCACGGCACTCACTCTAGCCTGGACAACAAAGCGAGACTCTGTCTCAAAAAAAAAAAAAAAAAAAAAAACCACCAGGTCTTATTTCTTCTAAATGTCTATTTATACCCATTTATACTCTCTTCATCCTCCTCTTTCCTACCCTTCCCAGACTCTGGTAACCACCAGTCTGCTCTCTATCTTCATGAGATTCACTTTTTTAGTTCCCACATACAAGTGAGAACACGTGACATTTATCTTTCTGTGCCTGGCTTATTTTACTTAACATAATAACCTCCAGTGCCCTCCATGTTGCTGCAAACAACAGGATTTCGTTCTTTTTTATAGCTGAATAATATTCCATTATGTATATATGCTACATTTTCTTTATCCATCCATTGATGGATACATGCTCTGGCTGTTGTGAATAATGTCACAGTAACATAGGAGTACAGATTTCTCTTCAATATTTTGATTTCTGTTCTTTTGGATATATACCCAGTAATGGAATTGCTGAATCGTACAGTAATTCTATTTTTATTTTTGAAGAAAGTCCATATTGTTTTCCTTAGTGGCTGTACTGATTACATTCCCACCAACAGTCTATGAGGGTTCCCCTTTCTCCACATCCATGCCAGCATCTGTTATTCATTGCCTTTTTGATAAAAGCCTTTCTAACTGGAGTGAGATGATATCTCATCATGGTTTTGATTTGTGTTTCTCTGATGATTAGTGATATTGAACATTTTTTCATATACCTGTTGGCCATTTGTATGCCTTCTTTTGAGAAATGTCCATTCAGATGTTTTATCCAGTTTGTAATCAGATTATTTGGGTTTTTTTCCTATTGAGTTATTTGACCTCCTTATATATCCTGGTTATTAATCCCTTGTCAGACGGATAGTTTGCAAATATTTTCTCTCATTCTGGAGTTGTCTTTTCACCTTGCTGATTGTTTTCTTTGCTTTGCAGAAGATTCTTAGCTTGATATATAATCCTGTTTGTCTATTTTTGCTTTTGTTGTCTGTGCTTTTAAGGTCTTACACAAAATATCTTTGCCCAGACCAATGTCCTGGAGTGTTTTCCCAACATTTTTTCCTAGTAGTTTCGTATTTCTAGATCTTAGATTTAAGTCTTTAATCAATTTTTATTTTATTTTGATATATGATGGGAGATAAGGGTCTAATTTTCTCTTCTGTGTGTGATATTCAGTTTTCCCATCTCCATTTACTAAAGAGACTGTATTGTATGTTCTTGGCACCTTTGTCAAAATCAATTGACCACAGGTGTGGGGGTTTATTTCTGGGCTATCTATTCTATTCCATTGGTTGATGTATCTGTTTTTATGTCACTATCGTGCTGTTTTGGTTATTACAACTCTATTGTATTATTCAAAGTTAGGTATTGTGATGCCTTCAGCTTTTTTCTTTCTGCGAAAGATTGCTTTGGCTTATCTAGAGTTTTTGGTGGTTCCATACAAATTTTATGAATTTTTTTCCTATTTTTGTGAAGAATATCATTGATATTTTGATAGGGATTGCATTGGATCTGAAGATCACTTTGAGTGGCATGGACATTTCAATGATTCTCCCAGTCCATGTACACAGAATATCATTCTATTTATGTGTGTCTTCTTTAATATCTTTGATTAATGTTTTATAGCTTTGTACAGATATTTTCCCTCCTTGGTTAAATTTGTTTCTAAGTATTTGTGTGTGTGTGTGGCTATTGTAAGCAGGATTTTTTTCTTGATTTCTTTTTCAAATAGCTATCAGTTTATAAAAAGGCTACTGATTTTTATATGCTGGTTTTGTATCCTGTAACCTTTCTAAGTTTGTTTATTAGTTTTAACAGTTTTTTAGTGGAGTCTTTAGGATTTTCTATATATAAGATCATGTCATCTGCAAACCGGGACAATTTAACTTCCTCCTTTCCAATTTAGATGACTTTTATTTCTTTTTCTTATCTAATTGCTCTGGCTAGGGCTTCCATGACTATGTTGAATAACAGTGGTGAAAGTGGATGTTCTTTTCTTATTCCAGTCATTAAAAGCTTTCAATTTGACTTTTTTTCCATTCAGTATGATATTAATATTAGCTGTGGATTTGTCATATATGGGCTTTGTTGTGTTGAGGTACATTCCTTCTACACCTAATTTCTTGAGAGTTTTTACTGTGAAGAAATGTTGAATTTTGTTAAATGCTTTTTCTGCATCTATTGAAGTGATCATGTGGTTTTTTTGTTCTTTATTTAATTAATGTAATGTATCACATTTATTGATTTGCATATGTTGAACCATTCTTGCATACCTGAGATGAATCCCACTTGACAATGGTGAATGATCTTTTTATCATTGAGGATTTTTGCATCCCAGGAATATTGGCCTGTAAGTTTTCTTTTTTGGTGTGTCATTGTCTGATTTTGATATTAGAGTAATTCTGGCCTCATAGAATGAGTTTGAAATTGTTCCCACCTCTACAGTTTTCCAGAAGAGTTTGAGAAGAATTGGTATTAGTCCTTCTTTAAATGTTTGATGGAGTTAAATAGCGAAGCTGTCAGGTCCTGGGCTTTTATTTTATGGGAGACAATTTATTACTGATTCCATTTTATTCCTTGTTATTGGTCTGTTCTCATTTTTCTGTATCTTTATGATTCAATCTTGGCTGGTTGTGTGTGTCCAGGAATTTATTCATTTCCTAATAATTTCTTACGATTCTTTGTATTTTTGTGCTATGAGTTATAATGTCTCTTTTTTCATCTCTGATTTTATTTATTTGAGTCTTCTCTCATTTTTTCTTTATTAGTCTGGTTAAAAGCTTGTTGATTTTGTCTATTTTTTAAAAAAAACCTAGTATGGCATTTTAAATGGGATATTGGAAAAGAAAAATGACATTATGAAAAAACTAGTGAAATTGGAATGAAGAGTATAATTTAGTTAATAGTAATATACCAATGCTGGTTTCTTAGTTGTGACAAATGCACTATGGTAACATAGGGTTTTGTTTTTTTTTTTTTGAGACAGAGTCTCACTTTGTTGCCCAAGCTGGAGTGAATGCCGTGGCGTCAGCCTAGCTCACAGCAACCTCAAACTCCTGGGCTCAAGCAATCCTTCTGCCTCAGCCTCCCAAGTAGCTGGGACTACAGGCTTGTGCCACCATGCCCAGCTAATTTTTTCTATATATATTAGTTTGCCAATTAATTTCTTTCTATTTATAGTAGAGATGGGGTCTCACTCTTGCTTAGGCTGGTTTTGAACTCCTGACCTCGAGCAATCTGCCCTCCTCGGCATCCCAGAGTGCTAGGATTACAGGTGTGAGCCACAGCACCTGGCCAACATAAGATGTTAACAATAAGAGGAAAATGGATGGGTGGTATGTGGGAACTGTCTATATTATCATTGTAAATTTTCTGTATATCTAAATCTATTTGTTTCAACTTTTCTATAAATCTAAATCTATTATCAAATAAAAACTAGATGAAAACAACAATTTATCAATAAGTAAATAAGACTGACCCATCTATGGTTGCTGGTGAGACTCTATTGAGTTGATGCCTGTAAAGTGCTCACACCAAGTCTAACGACAGCAGCTGCTCATTCCTAAGATAATTTCTAGATAAGCTTTTCATTTGAGTATGAAATCTATTTTAAAAGGTTACAAAATATGAGTGTACAGTTTGATGAAAAGTAAACACACCCATGTATTTACTATTCAGATCAAAAACTAGATAAGTACCAGCATTCAGAAGCCCTGCTAAACCTCTTCCCCTTATTTTTCC